AGGGGCCCAAAACTTAACCCTTTAAGGAATCAAAAAAGCAAGAAGGTTCGGTTTATTCAGGACCCTTATAAGTTCTCCCCTATCGTGGATTTTAATAATGGGGATAGTTAATAATAGTTCTGATTTGGAAGGAATTCAACTACTTTTTTATAAGATAATTACCATGTTGCTTATAAGAAGGCTTCTAGCATTAGGTTAATCCCAAATCATATTCATTATTTCCCTAACTGTAGGCTTGGCTACTCCCCCTGTAAATTCGTGAAACTTTTGGGCAATTCTTTTGAAAAGTGTAAATGTCGCCAAGCTAGGGAGCTTACGACCTGTCAGCTCTGCATTCCGAATGCCATTGAGGGGAAGACTAGGAGGATGAATGTCAGGAAGGAATTGAACTGGAGGAAGGGGAAGCTAGTCAGGAAGGCATTCGTATGGGTGTTAATGGCGCATTATCCCTGCCAAGGCTGGAAGGATCTCCTGGAACGCAGTTCCTTTTTTAGCCAGCTTGTCAGCTTACTGGAAAGTTTGTCTCCATCATGGCCGGCAGTTAAATTTAATTACACTGCCCGAAAAGCTGACCCCCAGCCCCATTGCGAGCCCTATTGTAACCGGAGTCGCGGGAGGAGCCGTAGGCCGCCGCTAATGATGTGTGGTGCTGTTCATTAGGACGTGACTATTGGGGCCATCCATTATCCCTACGCCTGAAAGAGGAACTTAGCCAACAAGTGGCGCACTTAGTTGAAACTTAATAACTTGGCCGCCAGCAACTCCAAGTGGGCTTAGTCGCTGCGGACAGAAGTTGCCCATTTCCGGCGGATGTGATTCGCATTGGCCGTTGACCACTAATCCACGAATCCACAAAGTTGCAAGTAAATTAATGCAGCCTGCGTGCTGGAACACAGACATCCCACTCTAGCCATTAAAATACTTTTTAATGCCGCTGGCATTTGCATTTAAACGATCTCAGATTCTCTGTTTATCGAACCGAGCCCAAAACGGCATTAACAACGAATATTGTCGACTATTGTCGTTTAGGGATGCGCAGTTATAAAAATTTATGACATTCCGATTTGTTTTCACCCATTTTGGGTGGACCGTGCCGTCGCCAGAAGGATTGTCGCGTGCCGACGTGCAGCTGCTCAGGTAAGCCATCCCACCCGGTGGATTCAACCGGATGTGAGTGTGATCAAGAGCTATAATGGAGTATAGATTGGTTATGCTTCTTGGCCTTAAATGATTATGTGAGAATGGTGGAACGTGAAGAAGGTAACCCACTTGTTAACAGGTATGTTGTTCTCATTGGGAAGAGTTTCACTTCAAGATAGCTAACATCTTTCGCATTTCCGTATTATTTTTGAATATTTGACCGAATATTTCACAGCGAAAGAGACACAGCTGTAAACAGTTTTACGATTTCTGAATAATTTAAAGCTCTCGGTTGCGCCAATTTAGATAAATATGTGCAGTGTGCTCAAAGGCAAATAAATATGAAAACAAATTCTATACTGGTTATGATCACGGTGACTCATCAATTAGAGGGAGACTTTCTGGCTGGGAGTCTAATGGCATAAGTCAACAAGAGGGGTACACCGGTATGTAGTCGACGGGCTTTTGGGTGCCAAAAGGGGGAATTATCACTTGCAACGTTTGCCCAGATGACTGTTCCGGCGATTTAATTCGAGCATAATTAATGCAAAGCCAGCGCCTCGACTTGTTAATTATGCAGGCAGACAAATGCCATAACTGGCCAGCTGACTGAACTCGAATCTGAGCCGCAATTAATGTGCATTTCATGGCGACTTTTGCCTGGCATTCCGCTGTTTGCACAGTCCATTGGGTGCCACCTTCTCCTCCTCCTCCTCCTCTCTATTTTCCCCCACTTTTTTCCCATCACGTGCTGGCCCTGAATCATGCCTCGATGCTTGGTTCTATTTTGGTATTATGTAAAATTCTCAAATATAATAATTTCTCATTCTCTGATGGTGGGTGGAGGAGTGGGCGGTTTGGTGTTCGGTTGGTTGACACAGGCACAGGGAGCAATCCACTCTGATCCACCCCATTGGCAATGGCCTCATGCAGGGCCATCAGTTGAGTGAACTAATCCACGCCGGGAAGCTGCATCTGCACTATGGAAGCTTATAGCTCCGAAGAAAGACGACTCCCCCTGATCAATGCAAATTTAATGCAATTGGAATATGTTTCGTTCGCCCTGGGAGTTGTCCTCTCCTGCCTTTCCTGCTTGTCCAACAACTGTTGCTCGTATCAGCCATCAATTCCGAGGCAGGATAAATGTAATTGAGGGGCATGAGACCATGTGACTGGGTAACAATACGAGGACAATGCGATGGCGATTGCCGGAAAGAGTAAACTGTGAGTGGGGTAGCCAATATAAATGCTTACACAGAGAGAAAATATTGTTCAGTCTGGTAGTTGAGAAGTTTTTATCTGATTACTATGAATGGAGTGGATGATAATTTCAATCAGTATGCTTTAATATCTTTCTATATCACTTTTTCTCTACACGAAATACTTCCATATTTCTCTCTCTGCACAGGGCACGGGCTCAAAGAGCCGCGCTAAATTGGCCATCAATTGGAGTCCACTCAAGGGCGCCTCACTTTTCTCGAGTTCAGTTGAGTTCACATCGCTCTTGCGCTTTATCATCAGGTTGTAAAAGCCCCCATAAAGGCTGCCATTAAATGGCCAAGTGATGTCAACATTAGGTGAGCCACGCCCACCCCCCGTCCACCACCGCCCACCGGACACGTGGGTCGAACTCATCCACTGGGATTTGCAATATGTCGCCAACATATTCATCATGGGACCCACACCCCTTTGCCATTGCCTTTTGATGGGGGTGCTGTCAAAATATTGACAATTGGTCTTTAGTTGGCGTGAAGGTCGACTGCACATTAACTGCAGGCACTCAAGGACACTTTACGGATAGTTGGGGGGCTATTACAGGGTTAGGGCGTGGCCTAAGCCCCGTAAATCTGCGACACTTTTGGGCCATCTTTTCGCGAGCAGTTTACCCAGGGAATTAGCGGGCGATTATCTTCTAATTGGATGCTAATTCCCAGCCGCAACCCACTTATGTTTATCTATCCCCGGAAGCCCCGAGTTTAGGGCCAGGGGAACTGCTAAAACCGCTGCGTGACTTACTTTAAATTCATATAATCGAATCGAAATCAGATTTGGCCAAGCTGTTGACTTTACCACAAACAGCAAGCAGTTTGGAAATCGCCTGCGTCGCGGTCTGGATTTTGGCAAGTGCTGACGTTCGCTCTCAGTCCGGAGGTTGTTGATGTGTCTGCCGGAATATTTATAGAAGCAATTGGGATGGACACAACAGAAAACGGGGTGCCAGGCGGTGTCAGGAGGAGCCTAATGAATCTATCTATTGGCTCGACTTTCTTGACTCACTGCACACGTTTCCCAGCGAGAAGAGGGACTTTTGCAGGGAAAAGGATTGCCAGCCAAATGAGAGAACTATGGGGAGCCTTAAGCCGGAGAAACGTGCCTGAAATATCCTCTAATACACAGTAAAAGAAAAGCTGATATGAAGCGTTTAAGCTAAGACAAGGCTGTTCAAATGAGAAAGCACTAATAAGTCATCGAAAACGTTAAAATAAAGTCATAATGCAAAATTGGGTTAATCCGCTTTTTGATAACGAAATGAATTTGATAAAAATTAAAGAACATTAGATAAGAACATGAGAATTTCAGCACACAAAATGATGCATAAACCTACTCATTCTCCACAATCTATTTGTTTATTTTATTAATTTTTTGTTTTGTTTATTATTTTATATTTATCCATGCATCAGAAGTGTAACATATCCCTAGGTAGGTTTCAACATAAGCCTGTGAAATATATCTGTAATGTAATTCTTATATCTCTTGATATCACAGTGGAGTTTTTTGCATGTATCTTTCCAGAGGCGCAGTTCGTTGGGGCAGCTTGAGTTTGTGATAAGAGACCATTGCAATCAAGCAGACTGTGTTAAAACGGGGGAAACCCCAATAACTTGTTGACACACTCGAAGCATATTCATGCTCCCAGATATTAACAAAGCCTGGGTTTGTCTTTATTATTTATTTACAATTTGAATCGAAAATTTGCGATTATCACCGGCTGTTCCTCGAAGTGCCAACCCCAAGTGAATCGGGTCTCCTGCAATTTGGAATGCAATCGCATTTGTCGGCGTTTGGAGGCTTAACCGGAAACTTTTAATTTAATTAATTTATACACAAAGGCGCAATCAAGAGCACTGGCGACTTGAGGAGGTCGGTCGGTGGGCGGTGCCATGCGAATTGCGGTTACAAGCGCCGTGTGCATCTGATAGATAGATAGATAGAACCACCCGCCCTCCCATCCATGCACCATCAACTATCCACCGTCCACCGTGCAAGCCCCTTGCGATAAAGTGCTTTTGATGTTCACTCGCCGATTCGGTTCATTTCGCTTTATTTCGCATTGTTTCCCCTCCCAGCGAGGGCAATCCAAAAATCCGGCATAAGTCAGAGGCTGCAGCCCAAAAGATACAAGATGTATCTCTAAATGTAAACTGCAGATTTCTTTTTTGGGACGACTGGGGGGCAACAGGTGAACTTTGTTTATTGATGCACTCATTCCGCTAATTTGTTTGCTCGGGATGATTTAATGGGCAGCCCGCTGGCAGGGTCAAGGGTGGATGGATGGATCCACGGATAGATATATGGATAGATGAGTGGATGGATTGATGGACATATAGATGGCTGATGGCCGGAACTGGATGTTATCAATTAGCCAATCGACAGGACATGCGATACGTGCAACAGGTGAAGACTTTCCCCGCTGCCAAAAGCAAATATTTAGTTGCCTTTGCGGTTAGCATAAACATAATGCTGTGTCCGAATTTTATTGATTTTTATTTGGGCCGCTAACATATGTTTTTTTCTCGCTCGTTTTCATTAGCAGCAGACATAAAATTAGTGTAAACTGTTTAAGCAAATAGTGTAGTTACCTGGAAGCTGAGGCGAATTGCTTAAGGTTGACCCCTACAGGCAGAAGGAGGAGCCACAGGTGCCCTTTCTTTTCACACAGAGGCACCACTGCAAATTTTTAATCTGCGATCCAATCACCTGTTGCGCCTTGATAATCTCTCTTTGGCTCTTTATTTTTTTAAAACCCCGAGACGCTAATTCAATTGACACTTTTTTGGGCTTCGCTGGGCGGCCATAAAAACTGGATGGAAAACTTTTCGGGCTTATTTAGTTTGGCATTTCATTGAGACAAAGCACACAGACACTGGCACGCACACTGGATTTGTTTATTAACTTAATTATTTATTTTTTATGGCAGTCGAAACTGAAATTCAAATTCAAAACTCGATACCGTTGCGATACTGCGGATTCGATTAGCGGATATGCGAAATATCCACCGCGCTGGCCAACGCTCGACGGCAAAATGCGCGAATGCTTCGCACGGACTAAATGTGAAGCGGTTGGGATTCGGTTCGGTTATGGAACGCCTGAATCGGGTGCGACTTGGGGACTTCGGGAAAAGTGGACGGGCCCCCGAACCCGAACCTCGTACCGCCCACCACGGACGCCTGTTGAGCGCTGGAAAAGCGTGGTGAGTAAGCCGCGTTGCAGTTCTACGGCTTGGCCTCCGTCCGGATATAATCGTAAATAAAATACGCTGCCTCTTATTCTTTATATTCTTTATATTCTTTATATTCTTTATAGCTTATGACTTGTGGCTGTCGCCGAGATTCCTCTCTATTTCTGGCTGCCGTCTGTAAATGTTTTTACACTTCCAGGGGCACACAAACATAATTGAGGCGTAAACCGCAATGGGCAATGCGTATTTTCTTGGACTAACTAATGAAATTGAGTGGCCGCAAGAACTGACGGGTCTCTCAATCAATCGACACCGATTCATTGAAATTGATGGCCCAGCTGGTTGATCCTTGGCTTCGGCGCGAGGGGTATTGGTGGCACTTTCGAGGCGGATGTGCCCAAGAGCACGCAACCCCCCAAATAATCGTTTGGCCAAAATCAATTTGTGCCATTTTGTTGCTTTATGGGCTGCCATCTCAGTGCCCGACGTATAGAACCAGAACCAGAACCACCCATAAAACCCCCGGGATCCGCTTCCATCGGCTTGTTAGCAGTTCATCAAAATTGTTTGCCGCATATTAATTGCCCGATGTTATGGCTGCTACTGTTCCGCGGAGTGCGATCGTATTGTTCGAGTATCGTTATTAATGCCCCATACCATCATATCATCGTACCATCATCGATGGGGAATATAGTTTTATTGACATTTGGCGCACGTGACCGGCCTGCAGAGATGTTTGCCTACTACTGTCGAGCAAATAGTCACTGCTTTTAGTGTGCAAACAAATCGCGATGCTCGCTGCAGCCCATCTGTCGTATACGTTATAAAGTGAGCAGCACTTTCTGATCGGATTTGTGGGATGTATCTATAATTCCACGTGCTGTCCATTTGCACGTCCATTTCGGGCTCTACAAGGAGATTTGAATGCAATCGATTCGAAACGTCGTCAGCTCGCACACTTTACGGCAGATCTTTAATTGCTTTTGAATTAAAAAATTTTTAAATTTTAAGAGGGAGAAGGGTGAAGCTAGAGAATGGGACAGAAGTAAAGCTTCACCACACCAACATTTTAATTTTCATTTTTGAGGTGAAAGCTTTGGAAGAACTTTCTAAGGTTCGTGACTCGGCTAAAAAGATAAACAAACTTTTATATGGTCTGATCTTAGCATTTAAAAGTTCTGACACTTCAAACATTTTCTAGTCAATTGTTTTAATAATTTGCAATTTAACTGGTGTAAAATTAGTCATTTCGTCTATTTTAGATAGTATAGAAAAGACAGCGTTCGTTGGTTTTGGTTGTAGGTTGGACAAAGCAACTAACGGTAACTAAATATTCTAAAGTATATCCGGATTGTAACTTAACTTTCCACCAAAGTAAAACCTGGAAAAATACAAACTTAAAAATGTATTTTTCTAATAAAATGGTAAGCTGTTTTTTCTGTGGTAGGCCCAATGCTTACCAAGTTAGAGTATAAAACAGGAAATAATTTATGAAAGATTTAGTAAAAGATAACTCATTACATATGATTCCCAATCAGAATAAAGAGTAGAAACTTAGTTCTACACACTGCTGAAAATTGATTTTGAATTATCAAGCAATCTGTTCAATAAACAAGTTAATCAACATACAAGTACCGCATAGCAAATAGAGCTGAGCAAACGCTCGATTCCAGTCCAAGTCCAAGCTTTATTCCAGACTTATCAGCTGTCTGTGTCTTTGTGGGTTCTGGACTGTATCGATAAGCTGGTGAACTTTTGACACAGAGAACCTGGGAGAGAACTTAAGGAACATACAGTTCTGCGATTAGCGGTTGCGTAGCTATAAAGCCAGGCTCTCAGCCGTCGGCGATTCAGTTTGAAACTTTTACTTCGCCGCGATATATTCCAATATGCTCAAGTATCTGATCGTCGCTCTGGCCCTGTGCGCTGTGGTGTGTATAGTATATGTCTAATTGGAAAATTGTAGCAGAGGTGAATTGCTGTATCTGAAAGTTTGCAATGGCCTTTTAGGGTAAAAACGCAAAGAGACATCTGAGAACTATTCCGAAAACAAAAAAACAACGACATAGAAGTGTTCTTTCTTTCGTTTAATATAATATATACATTTATAAAGATTGTCATGTACTTTACCTTTATTTACTTATCATTTTCCAACTCAAGCTGATAAGTTCTGTGCTAAAAATATGTCCAATTGCAGCATTCTAATGGCATGTCATTCAGATGATAATTTTGCAATAGAAACTTTGCATAACTTAACATAACTTAAACTTGTTACAAATTTAATTTCATATTTCCATTTCAGTGAGTTTTAAAAGTTCTGACATGCAATTACCAATTTAATCTAAAAATCTATTTTAAAATCTTTTTAAACAGGCCCATGCCGATGACTGGAAGCCAAAGACCGGCGAGGAGATCAGGCAAATCCGCGTGGAGTGTCTCAAGGAGACTCCGCTGAGCAGCGAAGCCATATCCCAGCTTAAGAACCTGATTTTCCCCGATGAACCAGATGTACGCCAATACTTGACCTGCACCGCCACCAAGTTGGGCATCTTCTGTGACCAGCAAGGATACCATGCCGACCGCCTGGCCAAGCAATTCAAGATGGACCTGTCCGAGGAGGAGGCTCTGCAGATCGCCCAGGGCTGCATCGACGACAACTCCCAGAAGAGTCCCACGGACGTGTGGGCCTTACGGGGACACCAGTGCATGATGGCCAGCAAGATCGGGGACAAGGTCAAGGCCTTCGTGAAGGCCAGACAAGAGGAGGCCAAGAAGAATGCTTCTGCCTAAAAGTCCTCTTGTTTGATTGACAAGATTGAAAACAAAGATAATGATGTAAAAGAATAATAAAATAGGTTAAAAATATAAAACACCCCTTTTTATTTCCGGGTGGGAGGGCTTAAATAACTATGTAAAAAATAATAAAATAGGTTAAAAAAAAGAATAATCTGTATATGTTTCTGGGTGGTGGGGCTTACATTGATAATTGAATTCCAATTCGTTATAAAACCCATTTCAGGGTCAGAGAATTGTTTTCTTCTCCCAACTTCCCCCAAAAATGGTAGAATATTTCTCATAACTAAGCCAATAATGGCCCAAATATGGAATGTCATACCTCGTTGAGCTTGTTTTTTAATTGCTAACAAATCTGTATTAAAAAGTAAAATTCTCGCCATTTTTCACAAATTTTTATAATGTTTCCGACAAAATGCGAAGTTCGGTTTACCCTTTTTTTCCCCTCAATCCGACGTATTGTTCTCTTAACTACGCCACATATGGTCAAAACATGAAATGTCACATCTCGTACGCCTTGTAATTTGATTGCAATGATTCCCAATTGCTTTGCATTCAAATCTG